GTGTGTGTGTGTGTGTGTGTGTGTGTGTGTGTGTGTGTGTGTGTGTGTGTGTGTGTGTGTGTGTGTGTGTTTGTTTGCAGCCAGTCTTACTACATTCCTAATTAATCCAATCAATCTTCTCACAGACTTAATTGTGTCACGGATGCAAAAATGATTACAGGGTCAATGTGATGATAAGACAATCTCAGGCAAGACAACACACACACACACACACACACACACACAAACACGCACGCACTCCTGAATAACTACACGAGCTCACTAACAATTACTGTTACTGTTAATGTCACGTTCACTCACTTCGATGCCTGAATCCAATCGTCATACAGGTCAAAGGTCAGCAGGGGTTCGGGCAGCTCACGCAGGTATGATTTCAGAGCACCTGCGCAGCACACACACACACACACACACACTCGTGTTAATTTTGTCAGCTATTTTCAATTTTAGTCTTAGTCCCGTGTTAAATGTCCTTGTTAGTTTTTATTCAACCTTATCAACCTTATCCTATTTAGTTTTAGTCAAGTTTTAGTCGACTAAAAGTCTCAACATTTTAGTCCAAGAAAACCTGAAGTATTTTAGTCTAGTTTTAAAACTTTCAAAAACTAGTTTTTGAAAACTTGACATTTTAGCAATAAGTTTAATATTAATTAACCGTACAGCAGTATTAATTTTTAATTTAGTCTTAGTCTTACTCAAATGTACATTTTAGTTTTCATATTTAGTCAACCTTGACCTGTTTTTGTTCAGTCAAGGTTAGGTCAACGAAATATATGAGCGTTTTAGTCAGATTTTAGTCAATGAAATCTCAGTCATATTTTTGTCATGCTGTATAACTGATAAAAATGTATTTTGCTCAAAATTATAATTATAATTATTGTTGTTATTTGAGAACTGTACTTTTGCATTTCAGGCATTGCACTTTCACCAGTAAACACAAATCAATACAATGTGGACTCATGGTGTATTTTACCTCATCTAGTGTACTGATTTATTATAGGCTTTTTATTATATAGATCAATACCACAGACTTATGTAATCTCTCTGTCTACATTATGAAAACTGCTAAAACAAACAAAAAATATTATAACAGTGAAATTCCAAGTAATTCCAAATCGCAATATGTTTCCTATGTTTCTCTATTAAAACAACAGCGGTTGAGTAAGTGCATTTATTCAGCAAACAATACAGTCGAGATCTCGTGACAGAACACAGACCGGCTGAGTGACGCTTTCATTAGATCGCTAAACTCAAGCTTGTTTGTTGCTGTTTTCAGATCATCTGCGGCGCATGGTTGCCAGATTGCTTAAAATAAGCAAAACACCGGGAAGAAAATGTATCAATGTAACAGCGAAGCTCTGATTCGGGGATTAGAACTCTTGATATCTGGCAACCGCACTCATGAAAGCTCTCGTAGTAGAGGAGTCCGCAATAACATTTTGTAAAATAAAAAGAGGTTTTTGGTAAAGTTTTTATGTTTTTGAATTAAGCCTGGGCGATAAAACGGTATTGATATTTATCGACGGTACACCTTCTTCGATAACGATATTAAAAAGGTTCGATATAGCGCACGATATAAGCACGTGCTACGAGTGACGCAGACAGCACACACAAACACGAACATGAGTGCTGTGCTGCCTGTGATGAGGAGATCGTGAGTAAAGAATGAATATTAGTCGAATTTAAAATAAACATTTGCATTTGAATGCAAAAATAGTACAATCCAATGTTAGATGTGCATCTGGGAGCGTCATCAGCGGCGCGCGAGATGCTGTGATTATGATGTAAGTGACGTTGTATTTTAATGTTTTGTTAGTCTAGCCCACGAGACGCGCCGCTGCTGCGTTATTCATTCAAAATATTAGAGAAATATAGAAGCTCAGTGCAGAGAAGATCTTGATTAGGTTAAAAGCGAAACCAAGCCATTCACACAGAACGCATATTCAGCGCATTTTTTAGACGGACAAATATGACTGCTGCACTCGCGTCTCACACAAGAGAGTAGAGTTTAAACTTTTAGAAAACACGTCACGAATTTGTGGAGGTTTATTCCTTTTCACTGCGTCTCGTATGTGTTTAAAGGCAATCTGCGTGATGGGCGCTTCGGTTCTTTGTATTAAGCAATGCATAAATACGTGATGCTGTTTTGTTCAATCTGCATATAAAACATTAGAAATTAGATATTTGTTTAATATTTATTTTGTTTTTGACTGTTAAAACAAAAAAATATTTGTTGTTTGTCTCAATAAATTGAGTTAATTTAAAAATACAGTGGTTAAATGTAAAAAAAAATTTCTATTGCTTTGTTTTAAAAAAGGTTATAAAAAATTTCAATAATTATCGATACCGAACGATATGAAACATTATATCGTTGATACATTTTTTAGCCCTATTTTGAATACATTTTAGTCTTTTTTCGTCAACGAAATTGCATGTTGATACAGTCACAGTTATCATTTATTGACCTCATTGTCGTCTCGTCTTAGTCATGAGAAAAAAGCTCGTCAACGAACATTTTTCCTCCTAGTTTTCGTTAACGAAATGAACACTACCTAACACACACACGCCGAGCTGCGTTTAGGACCGTGTGATGGTTAATAATAAGCGGAGGGGGATCTCACCTGCGATGGCGTGAGGATCCGCAGAATACTCCTGAAAGTCCAGCACGCCGCAGTCCAGAGACGCCTTCAGCTTCTTCAGCTTCGAGGCAGACGGAGCGACTCGAAACAAACCCTGACACAAACACACACAAACTCACTTTTAATACAGTTATATGCATTTATTCTCATGCAGAGGTGGAAACCAGTGTTAATTTCATTCAACTACATTTCTTTCACTGATGACAACGAGACGATAACGAACTAAAACTCTTTTTGAATGACAAAAAACTATGACGTAAATCTATTGACATTTTCGTCAATGAATAAAAACGAGACGAAAATGTTAGGGAGGGACAATTTGGGAAGAGATTAATTCAGAAGGAATCTGCTGCGTGGTTCGTAGTTTAGATGCGTACATATGAACCGGCGGGACATAAGCTAACATACACTTGCTGCACGTCACATAAAACGTTCAAAAATGTCAATATGTGGGAGTAAGAGAAGAGCAGACATATGGATAAATCTGACGACGCCAGAGAGAACTCAATTCGCTGCAGTTTTCTGAGCGCAGACACTGAAGCACACACACACAGAAAGCGCCTCTCACAGCGCGCGAGTACTCTTTCGCATCGCATGAATGGAGAATTACACACAAAATGATGTCGAATTGTCCATTTTGACGAGTATTCACGTAAACACGGTTGATTACGTCTTAAGTGAACGTAAACAGCAGGGAGAACATGCATCAGTACATTGCACCCATTGCAGCTGTGCATTCGGTTTTAAAGGGACAGCAGCCTAATTTAGTTGCTATTGAGTCATTGATATTAATCAAGCAACAACAGAAAGACAGAAAATCACGCACTGCTCTTGACTGAAAAACTTTAGTAGCCCTAAAGATTAATCTTAATTTTTTTATAGAAATAAATATGTCTGCTTGAAAGAATGAAGAATATGGTAAACAAGTTGCTATAAAGAATGCATAATTAGCCGATATAACCATTGGTATTTCATTAAAAAGGAGACCATGTTCTTGTTCTTTATGAGAAGTGGTTTTATTTCATTTTAACATAAAGGCATGTTGTGTGTCACCGCAGTTAAATCGGTGTCTATCATGATAAAACCTTAATATCAAACCTATATAATGAGTTTTAGAGAAATGCTTAATAAATGCACTGTAATTAAACCCATTCGATTTCAGCCGACTAAATTTACTGTAGATTTAGTGGAATAAAAGCTTACGATATTTAGTCGACTAAAACTAGACTAAAACTAAAAACAATTCAGGTGACTAAAATATGACTAAAACTAAATCAAAATGAACACTGGTGGAAACAGATGCAGAATAGTGTAAAACTGTCAAAGAAATGTATATAGCTTTATATATTTGATATGTAAGTCAGTGTATCGTATGCTATAGTGACAGTGAATGTTCACCTCCTCCTGTAGGCCGCAGTCCAGCAGCACGGTCACACACGCTTCGATGGGGAAAGCGATTTCTCTCCCGCTCAGAGTCAGATGCTCCTCTAACGGTTTCCCGTAACACGGCTTCTCCACCCACGACTCTGAAACACAAACCACACGCGCTTTACTGACAAAACAACACCAAACAGGCCATTTACTTACAGTTAGGGTTCAGATTATGATCATTACAATATTATATGTGACCCTGCAGCACAAAAGCAGTCTTAAGTCGCTGGGGTATATTTGTAGCAATAGCCAACTATACATTGTATGGCTCAAAATTATACATTTTTCTTTGATGGCAAAAATCATTAGGATATTAAGTAAAGATCATGTTCCATGAAGATATTTTGTAAATTTCTTACCGTAAATATATAACTTAATTTTTGATTAGTAAAATGCATTGCTAAGAACTTAATTTGAACAACTTTAAAGATGATTTTCTCAATATTTAGATTTTTTTGCACCCTCATATTCCAGATTTTCAGACAATAGTTGTATCTCAGCCAAATATTGTCCGATCCTAACAAACCATACATCAATGTACATTATACTAATTATTAAAATATTATATAATAAAATAATATATATTACAATAAATATTTATTATAATAGTAAATTATATGATACATATTACATTTTTAAATATTATAGTTCTAATTATTAAAATATTAAAGAATTATTATAATATTATTATAATAACTTAATATTAAGATGAAATATAATATTAAATTAAATTATAATTCATTTTAAATATTAAGTTATTAAAATTATTTAATCATTAATAATAATAATAATATATAATTAGTTTACAATATACAATTACATTTATATGATTAAATAATATATAATTAGTTCATATATAATAATATTAAAATAATATGTGATTCCAGGTTTATTCAGTTCCTTCTTTTTCCGATTCTTCATGATTCTCACCCTGTTGCTCTTTAATCTGTGGCAGAACGTTCTGAAGCAGCTCCAAAGACTTCTTGTGGTACTCGGCCTGAACCTCGATCAGCTGAACAGAGCGACAGAAAGATGTTAGCGATAAAAAGGCAGGCTGTTCATCTGAACGAGTAAAGCACTCACCGTCTGGAAGTAGTTTGCATAGTCAATTTCTTTGGCCATGAAACTATACATGTCCGCCGAGAGCTGATCCTGAAAAACATTGACATTAAACATGATGCTTCGATGTTGCATGTTTACAATATGCATTATGAATACGGTGCAGTCTGTATGCATGAAATAACAGAGAGAGAGCGAAGCTCCACCCACTCTACAGATCTCCATGCGATTGGCTGCCTCCTCCATCTCCTCCCTGAGGGCGTCGGCTTTGGCCCCGGTAGGCGTGTCCTTATTAGTCAGAGTTGAGGATTTGGACGACTGGTGCCACCTAGAGGTCGAGAGGAGAGAACGGCGTAATAAAAACACATCTGCCTACTAAATCACCTACTAGATTTGACTAAATGTGCAGTATACAACCAATCACACTGCATGAGCTACTGTTTCCCACAATGCAATGCGTTTAACTTGACTGAACCAGCAGTAATATCTCATCTGATCAGACTGCCAATGGTTAATACATTTAATTTGCAAGATAATAACTCAATGTAAGTTGCATGCACATTGTGCAGTTTCAAATCTTATAATTACATTTTGCATGTTGCACTTTATATTTAAAATTAACTGTAAACATATTATATGTTATTATATCTTTTCGAGGTGAAATATGAGCTAGAAATCACTAATTCTGTAGTAATTCTAAAGAGTTTTGCATAAAAACAATGCAAGTCTATGGGTTTGTCCCGGTTTGGATATAACTAGATAAGTGTGTGTGTTTCTCACCGTGTGCGAGCAGAATCCATGTCCAGTACCAGTTTGGCTAAATGTTTTCTTTGCTTCTGAATGTTGGGAATTTCAACCTTTGAGGAACCAGAAGAGAAATAAACAAAGAAACAAAAAACGTGTGTCAATTTTATTGCTTTTCTAAAACTTTTACACAAATGTTCATTAACGCATTATTTTGTCTCAAGCATGGGCACAGGGTTTCCAAAACTGGGGTTCATGGGTTGATGAGGGGAAAAAAAAATTGAATTAAATAAATACAATTAAAAAAAAAATTTAATAAATTAATATTTTTGATTATAATGATAAAAAAATAATTTATATATTTACATTTAATTTTTTTTTTTTTTTAATAAACAATTGTTTATTTTTATAAAATAAACAAACAAGCAAATAAATAATTTTAAAATAAAACACGAAGCAAATTAAAACACCAAAAATATGAAATATTGTATTTGTTTACCTGCGTGAATGTGTTGTTAACTGAAATATCTTAAAGTAAATATTTTAGCTCAAAGTAGTTTAGCGTTTAATTATATCTTTGAAATACTGGATCAACCAATCAGCATCACAATCCAATCAGGACCACAGCTATCTGTTATTTACATTATTTCACTACATTATTGTGCATCAGAATTACAGTAGCAATATGCAATAAAGTTGGCCATAAAAAAAATGAAAATGAAATGTGAGTGCTTTTTATTCTTGTGAAAGAGCTAGTTTATTTCGGTCCAGTGTTATGTACACACACACACACACACACA